TCTAAGCATGACAGATGCGTCAGCGTTACGGGATTTTACCCAGCCCGACGAGCTGAGTGACCTGACCCTGGTGATTAGTGGCACCCCCCTCCACGTCCACAAACAGTATCTGGCCGAGTGGTCCCCCGTGTGGCGCCAGCTGTTTCTGGAGGAATGTTCCAGTCCCGAAGGTCTACGGGAAATCTTAATGCCTGATAAAAACTTACAAGAAGTTACGGAACTATTGCACTGTATTTATTCCACACAGAAACCTATTTCAGGTAAACTTAATTATTGCATTATAATTGTATTTACTCCACAAAGAAATGCATCTCATATAAACTTACAAGATTGATTGATTATATGTTGTTTTACATTCCATCTAAGACTTTTTCATTCATACACAGACATCACCAAAATCTGACCTTTACTCAGCACTCAGGGCCTTTCTTTTTACAATTTTAAAACTTTTCTTTCGAAATTTCTGTACAATGTTAGCACTGAGGACTCTTTATTGTCCTAAAATATTCCCTTCCCCAGTAAGAAATATTGATCAGCAAACTAACTTATCTTTGAAGTGTTTTCATTTAATAAACAACAAGGAGAATAAATTGTTTTTCCATTACGAGGACCTGTTATTATACAATGTTTGGCTGGAAAACGGAGTCGCATGTCTGAGTGTTTTAAAATCATTGTCAGATCTTACTTCTTATCTCAGATCCAATCTCACACAAAGAATTTATTGATAAAACTTAACTCCTAATGAAGACATAGATTTTAATCTTTGTTTTTTTTATCATTGATCTGATAAAAGTCTCAATATACAGATGATTAAATGGGAATTAATGAAAAATAAACACTTTAGTTCAAACATTCAATTTTAAATTAATGGAAAATGAAACATTAGTGTTGTTACGATAGTCGCCGACTATCGAAAAATCGTCGTTTAAAGGTCCAGATCGGCGACAATCGGTTGTAAATATTATCATCGATAGAACGCTATATTTTTCAAGCCGATCAGGTTTAACTTTTATATTCACCATAGGGACGTCACTCAATCGGCGGTAAACAAAATGGCGAACGTGCGTGGTGAAGAGGTTGACTCTGAATTATATCTATATCCTGGTGCAACACGATCTAAAGTTTGGAGTTTTTTGGCTTTCCGAAAAAGGGCGATGGGCCTCCATGCAAAAATAATTTACAGATGGACTCGGTTATTTGTAAATTGTGTAAAAAGACATATGCCAATAAAGATAAGTTGAAGTTCGCGGTCAAAAGTCATGGAATTCTACTCGTGCTGAATGAATAAATTTAACCTTTTTTAATAGTTCAAATTATCGATTATATAATGGATTGTGTTCTTCCGATTCAATTTGATAATCGATCGTAAAATTTGTCCGATTTTACAACACTATGAAACATATCCACAGGTGTTCACCAAAGTATAACAGAAAACTTGAAAATTTAGTTTCAATAACAAAGAATAACAAAATTGTTAATTGTTTTGCTGGGCATTAATAATTGTTTTTAATCAAATGTTTGAAATTCCAAATAAAAGACTTGCATGACAGATATGCAAATTCCCAAATTACTTTATATTTTTTTTTATAGATACTAATGTGAAATTTTTACTACAACTTTCTGATGAATTCCAAATAAATCGTGTGAAGGAAAGATGTGAACAGTTTCTCATCAACCAGGACAGATCTCTGGGAATATTAGTCCTGGCCGAAAAATACAACCTAAGGTCCCTCTATAAACAGTGTATGGAGTACGCCAAAACTAAGACACTGGAGGAACTGGACTCAAGTCCTGAGATTAAACGGCTGTCATCAAAGACAGTGTTACAGATCTATCATGACAAGATAGAGATGCTCCGCGACTATTCTAATGACATTACACAGAGAGACAGACGGACAATGCTGGATTGTGAGACCCTAAGGATGGAGAAAGCCAACATGCTGAGGAGTTTACAGGGCATACAGAAACTCTGGGATACCCCCAGTAAGAGGTGCTTCAGACACATTGCTGACAGCGCGTTCAATTACAGCTGTGCAGACTGTAACGAAAAAATCTACTTTGAGGTTCGGAAGTTGTGTGGGGAGGGGCAACACCTCAGACGATACTTTCCCAAACCCCCCGAAAAGAAATGATAAATATCATTGCTAGCTATAGATTACAGTGAAATTTGGAAATGAACATAATTTATAACAGTAAGATTTGGAGCTTCATCCTAAGCAACAAAGCTAGTCTTCAAAATTAACCACCTCACTGGCAAAATGTCTCATTAAAACACTTCAAACTGCATAGTACTGCATAGTTCTGCATAGTGCTGTGTCTGAACTATGTTTAAACTGGCCAGAAAGTTATCACTTGAAACACAAATTAATACATGATCTTTTACAATCACTTTAAGTTGTTTGTTATTTTTGTAGTTAATAAATTTGATAATTAACACGTTTCTTGACTGATATAAATTTATTAAATCCTAATCTGACCAGGAAAGTAAATGGCCAAACAGAATAATCCAATGGCTACCATCTGTTTAGGTAGAAAAATAGTACAATAAAATTGAACTTTGTTAAAATTATTCAAACCACGCAAAAGCATGTATATTAATACAATAAATTAAATTGGAAAGCTTGGAACATAAAGCCATTCTCAGATCACACCTTCATTCAAGTTACGATGTGATTAAATTAAGCACAAATTCAAGAACCTGGGGCCATATAAATGGAATTTTACTGAGTTATCCCCCTTCATAGAGAGATCTATGCAACAGTTCTTAAAACCATGTGTGACAAAAGATAACCTTATTTAATTAATCAAAGTAAAAATTGTTGAGGAATTAGCCAACTACAGCTGTAGAAGTCCGTTAAAACTAATCATTAACAATGGTTGTCCTTAAGACTTGGGGTTGGGTAATTTCCCAACCTAATTATAATGATGTAATCCTAACTCTCCATCTACTTCTTTAATGTACATTGCTATTTCAATTCTTAGTGACAACCCTGATTAACTAATCGATGGTGAACTAAACTAACTTACATCTCTAAGTCCTATACTCACCTCTCTGACTCGCTCCTTGACCTCCGCTTCTGATGTTAATGGACTTTGTGTACGTGAGCTGTTCTCTGCTAAAATAAATTTTAATTAAAAATCATATAAATATAAAGAGGGGTTTGTTATTGGACCAGATTTATTTAATGAAAAAAAATATGTATCCATCAACTTGAACTGTCAAAAAAGTTAGAACTCTATTTAACCAACAACAAAAATTTACCATTATAGCAAAATTTGATGAAATGATTTGTGTGTCATGAAAGACAACTCTGTCAATACTAGATAAACAGGAAATATCAAGGTTTATTTTTTACTTAAGCATACGTATTGCAGCAACCAACAATCTTCTGCCAGTAATTTACCGGTATGTGAGGGCATTTGTGGTGGGGGTGGGGGGCTAAATTTTTATATTTGGTGGATGAAAAGACTGATAAATTTAAAGTTACCTTTAAACAGGAAAAGTAAATTTTCATGTGCATAACTACATTTCTTCAACAAACATGAAATTCAATTCCAAGTCAACTTTCTTTAAAATACATAACTATCTTTGATCATGAAATTCGATTCAACTCCCAACAAATTTTAAAACAGTATTTTTTCCAAAGAAATAAATTACCCCCACAAACACATGTGATTCTGCAGTAAATTCTGCTTAATTTTTCCTCAAATCTGAAGTTTTTTATCATAATATGATGGAATTAATTTTTTGTAAAAATTTTCAAACATTAAAATCAATTTTTATCGTTCTAAAATAATGCCAGAACATTTATTGCTTCTCACCTGATGAAGAGAGAAGTCCGAGACTCTGGACTGCGGTACGAGCCGCGGCATACTTAGAATCATCCTCACTACCATACACATCTGTATATAAACACACAAAATCATAAAATCCATACATAGAATTCTCAACAAAACTTTTCACGTCTGAACAAAAATACAGAAATATTAAACGAACAAAAATATATTCCAATTAAAGTGAAGATTTAGAAAGTAAAATCACTTGCCAAGGTCAATTTGCATTAAAGATAGATATATACATGTTCAACTTTCTGTGTAGGAGATAAGACTACACATTATCATAATAGAATAAGATGACTTCACCATAAAGCTATTTTATTTAAAATGATACTAGCATGCATGGTTCAAAAGAATCATGTCCAGGACCAGAGGGAGAAACAAGTTGGTTGGGATTGGTTAAGCTCATGAATTTATGGAATCATGTAAACATAAGGATTCCATAATCATTGTCCCGTAATATTACAGAGAGAATGGCAGTGTCCATGGATGTTTTAATTAGATCATAAAAAGATGCAAAATTGCCCTTTGTAATTTACAGGAGAAAGATTTTGTGAAATCTCATCAAAATTTGTATAGTGGTATGGGTCGAGTTGATTAGAGAGGAGTATCCCCAAGTATAATTGACATATGGACAGACATCCCTATCACTATATACAATGGTATAAAATTAATTCATTGAGAAAAGGAAGAAATGGTACTCAGAAGAGTCAGACCTGTTCATTGACAAACAAAAATAGTTTTCCATAGGACACTTATGCGTACATACTTATATTCAAATGAAAGAAAAAGTGAGCAAGCTCACATACCCCATGCTCCCCCAAAACTTGAAGTGCTGAAATTGCCAGAAAAAATAAAGGAATCCCAATTTCCTAGTAATATGCATATCTACACATTGTGTTCTAAATATCTGCAAAGTTTGACGAAATTCTGTGCAGCAGTTTATGAGAAGTTGCGCTGACAATCTGTTAATCTCTATATTCAAGGTACGGACAAAAATCTAAGTAGAAAAGGGCCGAAATTCCAAGGAAAATAAGGGAATCAGAATTTCCTGGTACATGTAATATGCACATCTACACATTGTGTCCTAAATATATGCTACGTTTAATGAAATTCTGTGCAGTGGTTCATGAGCAGATGCGCTGACAAACTGTTCATCTCTATATGCTGCATGCAAGATATGGCCAAAAATCTAGTGTAAAAGTGCGGAAATTCCCGGAAAAAATAAAGGAATCAGAATTTCCTGATAATATGCACATCTATACATTGTGTCCTAAATATCTGCAAAGTTGACTAAATTCTGTGCAGCGGTTTATGAGGAGTTGTGCTGACAAAAAAAAAACAGGACTGACTGACGGGTCAAAAGCATTATACCTCCCGCAACTTGTTGCGTGGGGTATAATAAAGTCAATCCTCACTATCTCAAACAGTACAGGGAAAATACTTTGGGACATCTGTGTATTCAGGATATCAAAGAATAAGTAGTTTGAATTCCCAATTCACTTTGACATATCCATGGTATTTGGGAATTATGAGTTATATAGATACCAAAGTCAACTGTAATTTGAGTTTATTTAGCATTTACCTCCACTTCCGTAGGTTTTGCCGTTAAATTTGACGGAGCCGACATAACCTGGGTTATTTGTCACCTTCGTCATGATACTGTCAAACACCAGTCTGATATTGTTGGCTCTGGCGTAGGTTTCTAGAGTTTGGAGATATCTCTCTCCATCAGGAACTGTAATTTACAAAACAGAATGGTCAGACAATGTCAATTAAATCCATATATATTCAATCATATTCAGAGGCATCCTCAGAAACAATCTCACGTCTCACCTTTAACAAAATTAAGTTTGTTCTGCCTCAATGGGGGCTTGGACACTAAAACAAATATGTACATTAAATTCTTGATTTGTTTGCACTTTATTCTTTTAAATCTAACTATTTGATAAACAGTTACAAAAATTGTGTGTTTCTCATTTTACCGACACATTTAACAATAGACCTAATATAGAAAAACAAAGTAGGTTTTACTCAAGTAAGTTTTTTGTATTAATCAAAATCTTATTCACGTTAAAACAGATATTTTATAAAATGCTGTAAATGACTAATTACTGTGGTTCTGTTTGTCGGATTCTTCTCTGCTTTATTTTCTGGTATTACTTGGTTACCTTTACTGTATAGCTTACTTTTTTATTGTATATATACCTGGTTTTTGCATACTGGTATTTTCTGGTATTATTTGGTTATCTGTACTGTATTGCTTACTTTTTTATTGTATATATACCTGGTTTTTGTATACTGGTATTTTCTGGTTTTTGTTTATTAGTGTTCATGTTTTCTGACGGAATATTTTCTTTCCCATTTTGAAATTTTCTGGCGAACCTTGGAGGTATCTCAAATCTGTGGCCAAAACCAGTATCTGGCTACAATAACCAAAAAAAAAAGTTTGGAAGCCAATGCTCACTATTAATACCCCCGCTCTGAGGTGAAACTAGAACTGTCCAATAGGGACAAATACCCCCGCTGGGTTTTTCAGAGTAGGTGCCAATTCAGAAATATTTTATGGATCTAGTAAGAGGTGTTCACTATTGTCTAATAAAGTGCCCCGCCACAGCATGATACACCCATCAAATATTGTTCAATAATCATAAATTGGTTAGGGTGCAAGAAAATCAAGTAACCTTGATTAACAGATTGACACAGATTTCAATGATCTAATTTCCATTTCTTATTATATTTGAAATATTGTACATACATCTCTAAAAGACTTACAGTGTAGGGATTAATTAAAACAAATAATACATCCAGAGCTGCCAACATTCTTAAATGACAAATAGTAAGGCGGGGTCTAGGGACCACCTAGGCCCCCTGTCGCTGAAGATGTTTTGTAAATGGACATGTAATCTGAGGCATGTTTCCATTTTGTTTACTATAAAACATTGACATTAATGTGATCCGTCTTCTAAAACTGAAACGATGATACAAGCAAGCGTTGTAAGAATTATGAATATATTATAATAGTAGAAAATATAGACTGCCAGCTATGAAAATACGTTTTTTATATATACTTTGAACGAGAAAAACTGAAATCGGAAGAATATAGAGAGAAATCGTAAGGCGTATTTTAGACGTTGATTTCGTACGCCTTACGCCAAAATCGTAAGGGTTGGCAGCTCTGTACATCATATATAATTCTAATTAAACTGGCTGTGTTAGAGCTTAACAAATATCCATCTGCAGCTTTAAATTGTTTATTGCATATTTTATGAAATAATGGAAATGCTACAGTCTAATAAAAAAAAATCAAAAATTAATTATTCTTTAGACTATAAAATTCTAAGTGAGACATGACTGCAATTTGCTGCAAATATATAAAAATTGAAATGTAATTTTTTTTTTCAATGAACACATGTATAATTAATTTTAATTATATTATACAATACTAATTCAGTTTCAATCATACACTAAAACATCAATTTGTTTTAATTACATTACACCAATTGAAAGATCTTTATCTGAACTACAGCCATCAAGAACTCTTAATTAACACAAGCAACTATAAGGCCATTTCTTTTTGCCCAACTCCCAAGAGATAAATTAAGATAACACTGCATCAGATCAGATCTAGAGATGCTCTTGCCAGTTAACTCCCTATAAAGAACTCATTAATTCTCTCTAATTTGACATGCACATTTCTGCTATCAAAAATTCTCCTTGACCAGTGCTTGATAATTATGCCCATGGGACAAACTGAATTCCTATCAAATCATTAACATTTGTTACAGAATCTGCTGTAAAGTATATGATGAAAAAATAAGTTTTTACTTCATTTCGCATTTTTTAATAAGGATACAACTATATTTTAACATTTTTTAGGATTATGAAATTTAAAATTTTAAAGACTGTTTTTTTTTTTTAAAAAATCACTTAAATTAAAGGTCACAGTGACCTTGAAATAGGTCGTGACACACCGTCTACCCAAGATGCATAAATTTTCCAAGTTTGATGATTGTAAGTCTAATAGTTTCCTAGTTATGAGCCAAACAAAATCACAAAAGAAAAAAGAAGAAATGCCTGTAAAATGCAGAAAAATCATCCAGTCATGATGAAAATCCCAGGTGCACACCTTCATATGGTGAATAATAAGTGTATAAATTTTCAGACAAATCCATCCAATAGTTTCTGAGAAACGGTCCGGACAAAATCTTGTCTACAGACAGACGGACATGGTGGTTCCAATATACCCCCCTAAACTTCGTTTGCGGGGGTATAAATAGGCTATCATCTTAATTACACAATTTCAGTTATGGGTAGGTGCATGGATAAATAGGAAGTTGACATCAGATTCCTATAAAAATAAATCCCACCATATGGCATGCCTCAGCAAAGATTGTGCTAAAATTTCAAGCATCTGCAATGAGCAGTTGCTGAGAAAACTGCAACAAAAATTTGCTATGTATGGTTCGGACAGACACACAGATAAACAGAAACAAAAATGAATCCCACCATATGCAACCAAAAATTTGTTACAGACAGACAGACGGACACACAAGGGTAAGACAGTACACCACCTTCTCCTTCGGAGAAGAGCTTTAATGAAAACATACACTTTCAAAGAGTCCATTTACATGTACATGTAAAATAAAGAGCTTCAGAATTTTTTGCATAAGACTTCAAAATATCCAAAACTGATGACAATTTTCTTGAAATTATGCATGCATTAATTGTTGATTAAATTTTTAGTAGAGGATTAGTTTACTGAAGTGAATTACCACATGTGGTTCTGTTGTCGCGGCAACCATTGCAGCGTTAAATGCTCTGTTTACAGTTACTTGACGTCTGTTGCCATCACCAGAGTTAATCTATAGATGACACAAATTCAACAAATAATCCTTAAAACATGCACAAATTAAGACAAAAGATACATTTAATGAATGGAAAAACTGGGGAAAAAAAGGCTTTTTTGTCTCTGCATGGGCACTGAATAAATATTTTTTACTACCTATTTATCCATGTTTTAAAGATAAAATATACATTAACCTAAGAAGAGTATACTTCTTCCACTGTTTCTTTGTCATTCTCTATCAATGTGATATCAAATTAAATGTGTTTCATATCTATGCCAACAAAATTACTTCCTTTCTTTTTTGCTTTCATTGGTGCAAAAAGGAAAGAAGCCATGGAAGCTCTAAGCAACATAATTATGAAATATCAACTTAACTTAATACATACATAAATATATCCTGTAAGCCCAATCCTACATGCATTGCATCTCTTGAATCAAAGCTTCTTGCCATAACTTATTAAACAGAATCTACACACATGAACTCTTTCAAAGACAACTGTTGTGTATTGAGTGGTGATTTCCATTACGTAAACAAACCTTTATTTCCTATGTAGCTTGTAACACAAGCTTTGATTGGTTACAGAGTCGGGTGTAAATTTCCATGCATCCGACTTGAGCCGGGGGTAAATAAAATGTGACATTCCAATGCATACTTTTTCTATGATAAAAACCAACTAACATGACGTCACAATGCATTGTTGTACGTAGTTATCTTACTAGATCAATTGAGACACATTTGATTAGACCCTAATGTTTACAAAGAATTTTTATGGGTATATAGGAAATAAATTCGTTCTCCGGGTCCAGTCAAGGGTGTATGGGGATTTACCCCAGGTTGTATTCCATACACCCTTAAGCCACAGGGTGTATAGAATAAAACCAGGGGTATATCCTCGTACACACTTGATTGAATCTGGATAACTAATATTATTATCCTTCAGAATTATACAGTCAATCTGATTGGTTTAGAGCATGTCACGTGAGGTGAAACAATTGGTGATGTCTCCCTCATGCGCAGGGTGACAACTGTTGTCACCCTTCAGACTACAATGAATAGAGCAAGCGAGCATGATGAGTTACAAGTTTGTTGTCGCCCCTTGAATGAAAATATAGTGGTTTAAGCGAGATAACTCTTATTTATAATTATTCACACATAAAATTTGTTAATATGCAGGATCGGTAAACACTAAATTCTAACGATGACGTCAAAATTGGTTGTTGACATATTTTGAAAGTATGGAATTGAATCAGAGCAGAGTAAGAGGATACAGAGATTTGATTACTATTTTCTACTCTATCTTACTGATAATTTAGATTCTTCAGGATAATAAAACTATTATGGACTGTTTAGAAGGGAGACATCACCAATTATCAGGTCTGCCTAATTTATACATACCTGTATATTGAGTGGTGATTTGCCTAGTAATGGAGGCCTTCCTCTGTAAGGAGTACGATTGGCTGGCCCTAGGGTGGGTCTCTGTCCCCAGGGTGGGGGTTTTCCTTTGGGTGGGAGTCTTACAACTCCCCCCTGGGAGAAAGATTTAAATGGCTCAGATCTTCTCATTGGTCTTCTGACTGCAGGCTACAGTGAAAGGGAAACAACTCCAACTATATGACTTTATAAGAATCAATTTTGATAAGAAAATGAGGTCAAGATCCATAGTAATGTAATATGGGGAACATATATTGTTGTACATTGTAACATTTCAATCCATAGGAATACCAATCAATTTTGTAAAAAATACTGATAAAGTTATTATCTAGCTAAACTTCCGTGCAAGTTCACAAACCTGATGTCATATTTGATGTTGCTATAAGTAAATTGACGTTTTAAAAAGAAGAATCCTTATTCTCAGAAATTGAAAAATACTTCAGGGAGGGGGGTGCTAATAGGGAAGGGACATTTAATAAGAAATCCAAGGCTTTGTTGAAGTCAGTTGGAAGTCCCAACAAATTTCTGTTGTGTCACTGCTTTACATTGAATACTGTACACAGGGAATTTTTCACCCCCTTTTTATTTTCGCCCTTTTTGCCCTCTTCATAATTGGGCAAATTTAAAATGGGGCAAATTCAAAGAATACTGCATGATTTCTTAAACAGAACTGTGACTGGGTGAATTTAAAATGGGGCAAAATTGTTCGCAAGTGCAAAAGGACGAAAATAACCCTGTAATCAGTATCTGAAATCCCAACATATTTTTTTTTTATCAAACCCATCAAGTTCAGGTTTTGACTGTAACAATTAAAAAATATTTATTCAATCATTCTAAAAACTTCCTTTAATTAAAACATTATTATATCAGTGCTGAATACTACAGCCTAATCAGATGTACCTTGAGTTTTTTGTTTTTCTTTGTACTTCTTTGTTTGGCCACCATAGATTGTATGTGTGCTGTCTCCTCGTTAGCAACAGCATGATAGACAATCTCTCCCTGCTTATTCCTACAATAAAACAAGATAAATATAAACAACAAAGACAAGTGGCATCAAAACACAATATTGCCCATACATTTAAAAGGCACTTATGCCGAAAATTTTGCATTTATCAAATAGTCAGGGAGGTGACACAGCATGAATATGCGTTTCCAGTAAAAATCCTATTTAGTCTGTAGGATAATTAGAAAAATAATCATTCCGAGTTAAAACATTCAAACTCAAGTATCTTTAATTTTTGGCTTTTACCACATGGTGCTCTTAATCTGCTAGTCCAGTATACATACAGCATTAAAAACATTTCCTTACTTTCTGACTCTGACGACATCTGGTATACTGTTGATAAAATCATCCAAATTAGAAAACCCAAGCTTCTTAAAGGGCAGAGGTTCCTGTGTGATTTCACGGTAGTCTCCTTAAAAAGACAAAATTATAATCAGTGATACTGAAAGATTCTTCCCTTCATGTTTACTGAACTCTGAGTGGTCAATGACTTGGTACATAATACATTGTAAACAAGACTTACTTTGTAATATGTGGGCGGGTACGCCCTCTTTACAACTCATAAGAACTGCTCTCAGCATGCTCTTGACCTCTTCTAATGCCATGGTCTAATGGTTTTCAGATTTTGAACCTAGAAAAAAGATCACATATTACAGTTTCCTTACATATTATTTCTTCACTTTTATTAGTTATAAGATAAAGGAATCCATCTGTATGATTCCAGTCCCAGCCAAATCTTTTTTTTCTGTAATTGCTTTTTGGCAGGTGCATCCACTGATCAAATATTTCTATGCCCAGAATTTTACCAAATAATTTTATTATATTTTGTCTAGCATGCCAGAAATATGAAATTTATTACATCATGTACACTTTTTGTGTCTCCAATGCAAATAAGTTTCTATGAAATAGTGGTTGAATGAACTGTCAATAAATTAATTATTTTCAATATACCGTATAAGTAGATTTTTATCGAGGATTTAACTTTGGCATTGTTAGCGTGGGTCATGAGATCGCTAAAATTGAATACCGCTAAAAATTAATTGCATTTTATTTGTACTAGCTGCTTTAGTATGCATTTTAAAATCGCAAAAATTACCACTCGCTAAAAATAAATTACCAATTGTTAAGGAGAAATCGCTAAATTTGCGTCTCGCTAAAATTTCCACTTATACAGTATTTAATATCAGTGATGTTATATATTTGATATATTTTTCATATATGAAAAATTAAACAACTGATGAATGAATTGATCACTGGAATCTAAAGTGAAAGTACATTGTTAAACACAATATGAAGGATAAGCCTCCAAAGTTACATGTCCTTTGGGCTCACAGATGTGCCATTTCCATACCCCCACTTCTAACCTTACCAGACATCAGATTCCCAGGATTTGTAAAAGATTGTCAGATTCTCGGGACTTTAATTCAATAAATATGTAACATTAGAATAATTAAATATAACTCAGAATTTTTTTTCTGATTTATTTTCATTATTTAAATGGTTATCAAATAACCTAATTCTGCATTTTACTTTGCTGAAATAAGTTCCAACAGAAACAATTACATATGATGTGGAACAGGCCCAAACCACAGCTAGAATAGAACTGTATAGCTCTCTGAATACATTGACAGGCCGGAGAGCTACAGTGCCATCCATTCTGCAGCTACAGCTAGAATACATGTTGGAAACCCCATGCAAAAAGTGTTGCATTACAATTAACTGTATCAAAATGGAGCAGATTTGCTGTATGCTGGATAATCTTGAGATTAAATGCAAAGACATATCTTATAGAGTAGCCCCTAATCCACCGACTATTTCCTAGTTTAAAACTTACTTTTCATGAAAAATTAATCCACAAATCAACCAGAAATATAAGTATAAAGAGGGCACAAAAAGTGTCAAACTTTGAAACTTTTTCACGAGGAAATTCGAAATTTTCAAAAGAAAGTGTTTTGTCAAGATTTTCTGCAATTACAGATATGAATTCTCACATACCTGCAGCTCAATAATACATGTAGATTTCTTCTTGTAATAATTGGAACACTTTCTCCTTGTCTTGCAGTTGTTTTTTAATTAAATCGAAATCGAAACGGGAAAAAAAATTCTTAGAAATACAGTAAGTCGTACCAAGATTTGTCGTGACATGTGCCCTTCCTTATTTAGACATTTGGCGCCAAAAGTTGATAAATAGCGTAAACTGTCGGGTCTGGCATTTCTCCAGGTATGGCCCAAGGCACTCTACAAGACTTGGAAATTTTGCAAGCAAGTAATTAAAGTGCCCGCCCAAGCACGAAAAACAAAAACAAAAAAACTAATTCGGGGGTTGGGGGTGGGGGGGGGGGGGTGTGGGGTGGGGGTCCAATGAAAATATAATATTAATTAGGGAACTCCGATCCTCATTCAGGAGGGATAACTGTTTAATTCATAATTTAATTCAAAAACTCTCAGAGTGAAGCTTGAAAATTAATCTTTTCATGTAACAATTTTCATTCTATACCTCTCAATGTGTTTCAAGGTTCTTTGAAGTTCTTAAAAACGTATTACAAAAATTGAAATTTGTTATCCTATAAAAGTATCTTAAAATTACATATTTCCAGAAATTGAGGTTCTTTCCATCTTACCATAGATACCAATGTTTATTAATATTAAATGAAATTAGAATTGATCTATGGTGTTTTGCAATGATAGGAAAAGCTACTGTGCATTGTAAAATGATCGAAATAAACAAAAGAAACTAGAGTACCTTATATGTATAATAAAAATTTCTTTAAAAGCCTGGATACCTATAAGTCTTATTTCTAAAATATGTTTGTTGATCAAAGTTGAATTGGAAAATGCATAGTAGGTGATTTCATTCGCATTTCCTGAAAATTTAATTCTTTGAGATTTACTTATTTTTCTTCTATAATATGATTAATTTTAAAGACAAAGTTTGAAGAATAACCGTGGGTAAAAAAAATGTCTTTGAGAATTCATAAATATTTTTTGTGAGCATTTTAATTAGTCAATGCCTGATTTTCAGACCCGAGGATCGAAGTACCTTAATACTTTCCCGTGGAAAGATTTTTCTGCATTGTTAAAAAAAAGTTTGGCGTGCCCTTTCAATGAACATTTGCAACAGTGAAAGATTACTGTTGGAAAAGTGGGAGCCTCCCATTCCCCCGACATTAAATGCCTGCATGGATTGGACGATGTAGCCAATTTCTTTAATTATTTGATTTTTGCAGTATACTTTTATACGACCAAGCTGTATGTATGAATGTACGTAGCATTTTCCTTGTCTTCGTTGTTAATTTGTGTAGAACATTTCTTAAAAAGGTCATCCGGCTTTGCTTTTCTTATTTATTTACAGTACACACGAAAACATTTATGGAGTAGACATCCCCTGTTGACTGGTCACCTCAGCCGTGATCCCTCTATATTTACATCCACTTAATATTTTCTCCTTTATTTCTTAAGAAAACCCATTGCGTTAATCAGTGCATGAACTAAACCAGGCATGCCACCTGTACAGATTTCTTGATCAGTGGCTGTTCCATCAATAAAACGTACAAAGACGTCGGCATCATTAATACAATAATTAATCTTTTTAATCCTACTTTAAATGATTATTCAATAACAGATATAAATATGAACAATAAGATGTCTTTCTTTGATTGTTAGTACGGGAATGAATGTCGCAGCAATTGCAGAAAAAATTTACATAATATTTTTACAAAAAAATTTATATGTATTTTTTCTGCAACAGCTGCATTCATTCCTACGGTGGCTGGTATAGGACATGGTATGAAATTTTTTTTTATTAATTCGTGGCCACGAAATAAAATTCGTGGGAACGAAATAAAAATTCGTGGCCACGAAATAAAATTCGTGGGAACGAAATAAAATTCGTGGCCATGAAATAAAAGATAAAGAATCTAGTATATTGACAGATCGGGTTCGTAATTTAGATGTGTCCATACACGCGCGCGCGGATCTGCAGACAAAAAGCTGAGAATACATGTTATTTACAATAGCTAAGATTATGTCCAGTGCATTTTTTAATGTATTTCACACATTTATTGCTAGATGTTTCAATAAATAGAATGTACTTGTAAGGCTTGTTTAGTCAAACACTCAATGTTTATTTATTTAACAATAGTAGTATAAACCGTCTAGATGGCCGGGTCAACTGAGTGCACTTTTGGGGTTGGGGGGGGATAGCCGGGTCAAGCGAGTGCAGCCCCTGGGGGGATAGCCGGGTCAAGGGAGTGCAGCCCCTGGTGGGGGATAGCCGGGTCAATTCAGTACATATAGTCCCCTAAATACGGGGGTCTGTTTACACTGTGTTTACATTACACTATACGCTGCTACTACGATTCACAACGCTGCTACTACGATTTTGGCAGCGAGTCAAAAGAATTTGATTATGACGTCACTCATTCACAGTCTAGACAGTCTAGCCTAACCAGTTCAAACTGGATTTTCTGAAAACAATAACAAAAGACAGATGATAACAAGGCAATTTTATTCAGAATTCAGAAATCTATTCTCCAAATGTTGTTTTTCGTGTCAGCAATAAAGGGAATGCGACAATATATATACACTGTATAAGTCTCTGGAAGAATTCCTTGTTTCTTTCTATGTTCGAATTCACGAAAACAGCTTTCAATCTGGTTTTTCCATCCACTTTCCTTACAATAACAACTGAGCACCCATTTGTATCTTTGATAAAATAAATAACCATTTTTTCTCTTCAGACAGTATTGGTCCTCTCTGGTGTCATAATCTTCAGGATCCAATTCCACTCTTTTTACCAACCACACTCTTTTTTGGTATCTGGGACTAAATATTCTATGGCGTTTATAAAAATCCTGGATCGCTTCTTCTTTAGTTTTCATCCATTTTCCAAAGCTTGATCCATTGACTGACCAACAATACTCCGTTTTCTTTGTCATATTTTTTATCTGCTCCATTTTTTTTTACCTGTGTCGAATTCAGAATGCTAACGAAGTGTGAACGTCAATGTCCAGCGCTGGTTTATATACCTGCTGTGTGCCGTGTGCAAAAATACGTTTTACCTGCGTTTTCTTATATACCTGTTGCATCACCTGTAAAGGGCCGTGTGCAAAAAATATGCTGACTACACAGGTAATACTTGGCAGCGATTCAAGTTTGTTTAGGGCCGTGTGCAAAAAAAAAATATATGCTTACCTATGCATTGTGACGTCATCCACTGTATAAATACTGCTTTTCTCCTACTTTCAGCCCATTCTACAGTCAGAGCCAGCTCCAATTGGGGTCATGGATTCTACTAGAGAAAAACAGTTACATGCTCAGCGATTATTAGAATGGAAAAAAAGGGAGAGCGAATTAGATCAAATTCTTGATGAAAATAAAGAGCGAGAATTAGAGCTTAGGAAAAGAAATGCGGTAAGATTACAGAGAAGAGCTCTACAAGAAAAACAACGACAACAACAACTACAACAACAACGACAACGACAACTACGGGAGAGAGAATCAAATCAAATTCTTGATGAAAATAAAGAGCGAGAATTAAAGCTTCGGAAAAGAAATGCCATACTATTACAGAGAAGAGCTCAACTAGAAAAACAAAGACAGCAACAGCAAAGGACTAGGGCGCATGAGGGGTCAAAGTTACCTATTCATTCACCACCCAAACCCAAGGCCATATCCCAGTATTATCGAGTCAAAGTGAATCAAAGGGTGCACTCTAAAAAATTTAAAGCTCAACAGGATTTTTACACTGTGATTTTTAAGGAGTTTCCAGAGGAAGAAAACAGAGGATTTGTTCGGCGATTATTCAGAGACATGTTACAAACTTTCAAATCGAAAATGCAGTGTAATCCTAACGATTACCTCCGCCTGAACATACGCCACAAATCTCTGGAATCAGAGATTTGGTACGAGTTTACTCAATGTAAACATTTTAACGAGGACGTCATTTTAGACAAGATTGAAGCCGTGCAACAATCCAGAAAGGAGTTCAAACTGGGCGACGGGGGCATGGAATTTGATATGTTTCGGGTCAAGTATCCCGAGGGAAGTGGTGGAGACAAACCAAACATTTACAAGTGAATAAGGAGACTTTTAAGAACAATAAAAGAGCCATCGTTCGGATCGTCAATCCCTGGGATAAATTTTGTTTAGCTAGAGCCATCGTCGTCACTCGATTACACAGTCAAAAACCCGAACATCCAGACCCCGAATGGGAAAAACAATGGAAACGCATGAGATTAGGAGATGTAAGAGCCAATGACCAGAAGAACCAAGCCATAGCCCTCATGGAACAGGCCGAGTGTGATATCACTCAAGCTTGTGGATATGCAGAGTGGACGAAATTACAACAGGTGTTAGCTCCCCAGTATCGACTGAAAATATTTCAGTTCAAGTCTACTTCGACTAAACTCACCTTAGAGCGCATCTTCAAAGGCTGGGGAGACGGAACTTGTTTGAACATATTGTTAGACGACCATCATTACGATGCCATCATATCCATGCCGGGAGTAACGGGGAACCAATATTACTGTGATCATTGCGACGTGGGGTACAGGAATGTCACAGAACATCGCTCCAAATGCCCTCATCGCTGTACCTTTTGTTTAGGACATCACCCTAATTGTCCCGATGAAGGGATCGAGATTAAATGCCAGGAATGCCATGGAATGTTTAAGAACAGGACCTGCTACGAAAATCATTTAAGACCCCATAGTAAGAAGACCACCACTACTGTCTGCAATTTAATGGAACAATGCGAGAAGTGTCAGTCCTGGATACCTAAGAAATTATTCCCTCATCACAAGTGCGGAGGACAGAAACAGTGTAAGATCTGTAAGAAAATCGTCGATACCGATCATCAGTGCTACGTACAACAGAAGCCCCAGAAGAAGAAGAAGGGGAAAGGGACCTTAGAGTTTTACATCTATTTCGATTTCGAATGCACTCAGGAAACCGGCATTCACATCCCTAATCTGTGTGTGGCACACCGCGTCTGTCAACATTGCAGTCACTTACCCATAGACCAACCCTGTCCTCATTGTCAACACATGGGACCCCGTCAGCACCTATTTCAAGGACCAGACACCTTAAAGAAGTTCATGGACTGGTTATTACAACC